AAATTTAATAAACGTAAAAATAAAAACACTTTAGTTATCACTATGTAAACTTTTAATTCTTACTAAATACCATAAATAGTGCTTATAAGTAAAGTTGTAGCTTATATTTAGAGCTACAAATCAGTATATAATACTATATACCGATCTTTAATTGAACTCGAACCAGACTCGAACTCGTATAACAGTTCAGTTCAAGTTCAGTTCGAACTTCAAACCTTTCTTGAACTCAAGCCAAAGTCCAGTTTGGTTCAGTTCATAGGAACACTAACCAGTACAATTAAAAGAACAACTTGAAAAGACTTTGAGAAGACAAATGAGTAATGGTGAAATATTGAAACAATATCATAAAGTTGAACAACTATTAGTTAATATTTCAATATAATGTTAAAGACAATTATCAGTGATTAAAAAAAAGATTAATAGAGAACTTAAACTTCAATCTTATAACTGTTACTATATGATTACTAAAAGAACTTATCAGATATTTTCTTTCAAAGAAAAAATAGATCAAAAGAATTTTGATTTAGAATTAATATTAACAAAAATATATTAAATGAAAAATTGAGAAATCAAGAACTTTATACAATAATTTTGCAGAAGCTTAATCTTTTCAAAAAGAATACAAATATTATAATTATATTATAAAAATCTTTAATTTCATAATTTGTAATATTTTACAAAATTATGAGAATTATGTAAATATTTCATAATTTTATTATATATTATTAATTATTATATTTATATACTTTTATTTTTCTACTTTGTACTCTTATACTTTTTATATTTTTTATACTTTTATATTTATACTTTTTATATTTATATTTTTTTATACTTTTTATACTTTCATATATTTATACTTTTTATACTTTTATATATTTATATTTTTATACTTTTATACTTATTTATCCCAAGTAGATATAACTTAACCAATTAAAACTCTTCGAGATTTATATTTTTTCTTCTTTATTTTTCTAATTTTCATATTTAGTAAATTAGAATTCTATTTTTAGTTAATATAATTATTTTTTATATCTTTTTTTTGTTTTTAATATTATATTTGTATTTTGTGAAAAATATATAAATATAAGTTATAGTTGAACTCTAACTTAATATATCAGAACTTGAGAATAAATAACATAATAGAATCAATACTCTTTAATACTAAAATAATTCATCTTCCTCTCTCAATTGTACACTTCAAATCTTATGAACAAATAGCTTTGAAACTATATTAAACTAATCAAAATGTTGATATTGAATTATTAAATTGATATTTTGTTATAAACTAGTTTTTTGACATTTTTATTATAATCGAATTATTTGAAATTTCTCAACTAAAAATATTATAATCTCTTTTTTGTGAAAAGAATGAAGTAAAAGAGTTTTTGTTACTTTTGTTATTTTTGTTAATTAGTAAATTTATTTATCAATTTAATTAAATAATTTATAAATTAATTAGTTAGTACAGTTAATCAGAACACTATATTTAATTGAAATCTTATTACTTTATCTTTTTTTCTTTTCAAACTATAACAATTTTAATAAAAATTATATAGAACTTAGATATTATTTTTATATTATTTTTATAATTGTTTAATTTCCTCTTTCAACTCTTGTTTGTATTTATTAGCTAATTATTCAATTAGTGAAAAATGTATAATATTATAAATAAGTATAATTATAAAAAGATTTGACTATAATTCAAAAAAAGAATAAAATACAGAAAAAATAAAATTATAGAGTTTTAATTATGTATAGTATTCTCATTAACTATACTAACTAACAAGATATTTTAATTAATTAATTTATTATTTTTTAATTTTCTGTATTAATATAAATATATTCTAAAAGCTAAACAAATAACAAAAATAATGAAAACTTTTTTGATTTGTTTTTCTTACAAAAAAGATATTATAATATTTTTGATTAAGAAATTTCAAATATAATTAATTTTCTTTAAGTACATGTTTTATAAACGCACAAATTATATAAATTCTTTTTAAATATATAATATAGCTTGGTTCTAATTTATAAGAGCTTTATATATTTTGCTCTTTATAAATATATATCTCTTTAAATATACTTTTTATATTTTTTTTACTATAATCCTAAGAGAGATATACTTAGAGAAGTCTAACTGTAATTTAATATAACAAAAATATCAATTCAATAAATTCAATAACAATATTTTAATTAGCTTAATACAATTCAAAGCTACTTGTTTACAAGTTTTGAAATGTATTATTGAGAAAAAAAGACAAATTATCTAAGTATTTAAAAGATATTTGTTTTATTAATTTATTTTCAAGTTTTAATATATTAAAATTTAATTATAATTTGTATTTATATATTTTTTATAAATATTAATATAATATTAAAAACAAGAAAAGAATATAAAAGATAAATATACTAACTAAAATAGAATTCCAATTTACTAAGAAGAAAAATAAATAAATAAATATATACTTCAAAGTTTTATAATTGATTAAGATACATTTATCAAAGTAAATAAATAAATAAAAATAAATAAATAAAAAAATAGATAATAATAAAATTAGTTAATGATATAAGAATAGAAAATTATAAAAAATAAAAGTAATATAAAATAAAAAAATAGAGATAAAAAATAGAAAAATAAATAAATATAATATAGTCAAATCCTTCTATAGTCACTATTCTTAGGAAAGCAAAATTTGATAATTATAGAGGAAATGTGACTATAGAAAAGTTTTTTTATTATGTTTATATATAAATGGAAAAGCAAAATAAAGTAACTATAGAGAAATTAATAATATATGATATAATTAAAAAGATATTTTTTTCACATGATTTTCATAATTTGTGAAATGTTACAAATTATGAAATTAATAATTTCTATAACATAATTGTAATACTATATTCAATTAAAAGATCAACAAATTTTCAATGATATTTGAAAAATTAAAAACAAATAATCTAAATTAATTAAATAAATGCTCACATAATAACATAATATTAATTAACCTACTAAAATTACATCAACAACTTGAAATTGCTTTTTCAATCTATACTAAGTAAAAAAATCAATTTAACTGAAAAACAATAGCAAAAATTAAATCAATTGTTAGCTAAATATAATGATCTGTTTGATATATTAGATCCTGATAAAACCAATATTATTCAATATAAAATTAATACTAAAGACAATTAATTGATCACATTAAAAAAGAATTCATAAAAAGTGAAATTGACCAGATGTTAAAACAAAATATTATTTCTAGAATTATATTATATATTAATATATAATCAAAGCTTTATATAACAATCTCATCATATAATGAGATTTGGTTATTGCGGATTTTTGACTATAATCAAAAGCAATTATTGAGCATAATCCGAAAAGATTCAGACAATCTATTTCAGGCTGGGCATCCTGTTCAGATAAGTCTTGAGGTTAAACCTTGTCAAGATTTTTTCATTGTTAGCACAACGAGGAACTAGCTTTCCATTCGAGCTTACTGACACACTTTGGGAAAAAATGTTTTTCGTCACTTTCATTAATACTAAAGAAGTATCATGTCAAAATTATATGTGTTGGACTAAAAAACGGCAGGATAAAGATACACGATACATATTCAATACATACAAGAAAGCCTGTTGAGGTTGACATATGCAATGATAGAATCGGGATCCGTTTAATGTGAAATCGGCCGTCCGATTTTTTGACGAAGATATTGGACGTATGATTACTTTCTGCGAAAAAGCATTGCAAGTCCAGCTGACTGTTACCATCTTATGTTGTAGTGAATAACTCTTCTATATAAATAGCAAGGTAATAGCAACAAGGCACATCGTGTGCCATACATAATAATATAAAGACATTAAACCATTGAATCAAAAATGTGTGTAATGGTCAAGTTTTCAAATAAGAAACGAAATACAATATAACGAGTCCTTTTATAAATAAATATATTCTAAGAAACGAAGATTTCTAATGGATCATTTATTGTACAACTGCTGCTTATTAGTAATCTTTATTTATGCTAAGGCTATTAGTTATTTTTGTAATTCTCCCACGACAAATAATTTCCCTAGAGTAGGACCGGCGTATTGATTCAACTGTTTGCAATAATTATTGATCTGTGATGTTATCAATAGACTATCGAGTTTTGAAGGTTCAGGTGGTAATTTGAATAATTTGCTTATGTCTTCTTCAGGAAGTGGCTCCAATCCAGCTGCTTGTCGCGTTTGATTTTCTTGTTTCTTTAGCGCGTAAAGATTAGATTATAAGTTAATACTGAGCTCTCAACCATCCAAGCGATAATCAACATAAAACCAAACATTACCCTTTTCTGCAGATATTGCTGAAGTTTAGACTGCTCACGTGCATAACTTCGTTGCCAAAACGCCAGATTGCTCTGTTCTTGACCGTACTCTTCCACCGCCTCCAACAAGAATTCCAAATTTTTCTCGATATAAGGATCAAGACTCAATTCCAACGTATCGAAATTCGGCGTAAGTGGAACCTCGACCTTATCTTTATCCAAGGCTTTTATCGGCAACGGTTCATACTCGTTTAGAGAATGGAGAAGAGCAGTTACGAGATGCGAGTTTTTGATTGCGATCGGTAGTTCTTCGAATATATTCGAGAATGTGAGTTTTTTTTTTTGTAATGATTCGTTGGTGAATTTTTTTTCTTTTTGTGCTTCCATGAACGACGGAGTGAATCGAAATGCTCGTAGTGATATATTTCCATGAGTTGATCGTGAAACATCTTATATGTAATTATATAGGAAAAATTAATAATTTATAATTAAAAAGTTCGCAAATGCAATTGAATATACATTTATTTTTTTATAGCAAATACCATGGACAATGACTACGCTCTTATTGTTAGTTTTTTGGAAAAAGTATTGAGTTTCAACTAATTTATGTGTCAGAAAAGAGCCAAGGTATGTCGATTGATACCAACCAACTGTATTATGATCAACGTTAATTTCACGTAGACATCTCATCATTTCAACTTGATATTTTGCCCCTATAATCACAGTAAAGCTTTAAGTATATTACATATAGAAATAAATATAAAAACTAAATCAATATAAATACCCTCAAAAGGTTCATTTTCGTCGTCGCTTTTTGAACTCGGGAACGGAAAAGAGCTTGTCACCTCCAATACCTCACTTATATCCAAACCAAGGAGTTGACCGGTAACTGGTGTAGGAAAAGCTTCACGACAATGTTTGATAATTTTCAAGACTACCTATAAAAAATTCTGATAAAAAACCATTCCACGAGATTCATTCAGTAGAAACACCGAAATCTTACCAGACCATCAAGTTGCACGCTTTCGAGTGGAATAGTCCCCTCTATATCTAAAGCAGCTGTAACGTTTAAGTTAGCCAAGCCCTCTTTCGCATTTGTTGTGGGAGCTGTAGAAGCCATTTTTTATCATGAAATAAGGTAAAACAATTTTTTCTTATATTTAATATTAGATCTTCTATAAACACGTGTAATGTTGGCCAAAATTATACAAGAATTACATGATCATTATTATACCAATATTTTAAAATCTATTATGTGCCATATTTAGTCCATGCAAAGGGAGGCGGCAATGTTTTCATAATCTCGGAGCGTGGTCTTTCAACCACAACCAACGAATCTTCTTTTACATAATCCACAAATATCAACGATTGATATTTACGGAACATCTTGAAATTAAGCCGAGAAACTGCATCCCGCAAAATATTCTTAATAGCGCCATGTGAGGATGGTATATCATGATGTTCGCGTATTTTATCGTGTAATAGAGATTTACAAAGAAACACATCAATCTCTTGATCCGGATCACCAACTTCTTTGTTTATATCGACGATACATATGAAATTTGCATTCCATAAGAGTACACTGTCCGGTCGCCCTGGATTGAATGTGCATCCCATAATCTTATCTTTTATTTCGACAAATTTCCGTGGTAGTTTTGTTGAATAGCTTCGTGACCAGTCAGTTAGACTCTCTTTTTCAAGGTCAAACAAATAAAATTCGTTTGAGATTAAGGTGATGAGAAGGATCGATGAATTTGGATTGAAGGTGAGACCATTTTGAAGTGATTTGAATTTTTGAACTTGTGTATAATGCTAACAAATGAATAAATTTATTTAATATAATTTAAATCGAAGAAAAATCCCATTAATCTATGTATACTAAAAATTTATGCTCACCGAGAAATCTCTCAAATCGAAGATATGTATCTTATTCGACAAGTCTCCCGTTGCCAACCATCTACTGTCGTTACTCACGGCGATCGTTGTAATCGTTGACGCCATTTTGGTTGCATGATTGTCAAAACACGCGAGAACATCAAATCTACCTTGATGCCATTTATTCAGTCCAACAACGACCACATACGAATCAACGGTGACCATAATCAGTTTTGAATTATCGGGTGTGAATGAGAGATGATGCGCACCCATCGCAAATTTTCCTGAGTTTTGAGAATAGATTCGGCCAAACTCTTTTATTTTATGGACAATCATGTGTCCGATTGGGTCTTTTTCAATTCTGAATAGCTTCACTTCTTCCACGTCTGTAACAGCGATCCATTGTCCGTCTTCTGAAAGAGCACTCGAGGTTAGATTATAAGTACTCTAATAATTGTAAATGTTCGTGATAATTAATACGAGTTATAGAAAGTTGAATATAAATAAAAGATATTTCCTACCTTTAAAGAAATCTCTAATACCGCCTCTTGTTGTTCAACCAATGGTAATACCGCGACGTCCACCTTTTTCATTTCAGAGGGTCGAGGTGGCGCGGCTACAAATAATTTATTTACAATATTAAATAAAATAGGAAACAAAATTCAGATTATCTACAACCAAAAACAAAAATAGAATCGAAATTAAGTCACCTTTTCCCAGCTTCCATAATTTTATTCCGTTTGACGACCGATGCATTAATAGCTGCTGTGCTTTTGATAATGAAATCAAACCACGGTAAAAAGCCGAAATACGACGAAAATAAACATCAGGAAACATTTCCAATGGAATTAAAATCAAATCAGTGTCGACGCCTTCAAAAAACCAAAAATTCTGTGTAAATATAAAGTTTTATGAATAAAGAGCAGTGATATTGTGTGAAAAAGAAATCTCAAAAGAAAAGAATAATGATCATGACACTAACCACCAGAAACCAGCGTATCATTCCTTTCATTTATAGCTAAAGCTTTCACTTCGTGCTCGTGACATTTTCGAAAGCCAGTAGATACCCAAAAGGGAGTAGATGCTGACTGCATAGTATGCGGATATTTTGAATGTTCCGGCTCTATCAATTCGAAAAGATTGCACTTATAATCTACACCGCAAGAGAAAACTGCAGTTCCTTTCTTTTGTATTAAATCAAAACATAAAGATTATTACTTGAAAATTTAGAATAAACTAATTAGTTTTAAGAAACCACATAAATTTACTTTGTTTGCGGCTAAACACAAAACCGGAGCACTATGTGTATGATATTTTTGTAACATTGTGCCCATTTCTCCATCCCAGAATCTGACGTGACCAAGAGAATCGCCACTGACAATAGTGTTACCCCTTTTTTAACGGATTCGAGAATAAATATAATTTGTTCCATTTGATCAAATATTCATTTAAATAATATCGAGAAAACTTACTCTAAATATATGACAGCATGAACTAATGTATCTTCATGTCTTTTACGCTCTACCGTCAATGTTTCTTTTACGCGTCCTGTTCTCGTGCAAAGAAATAAATATTGTGATAAGCAAATATAATCAAACGCATGCCATTAGTATAATTCAAACCTGTTGATGCGTTAATAATTTGAATACGACCATCGGAACATCCAGTCACGATGAAAGTATTGTCAAGGTTCCAAGCTAAGGATAATACTTTAGCCGGAAGTCCTAGAAAATTCTTTATAGGTATAAATTCATCATCGGCTATATCAAATAATCGAATTACGCCATCATCACAACCGATGGCAAGTAAAGTACATAACGAATTTGTAGACATGCACCATACGGTTCCGCCGTTTGAATGTTCTATTCTCTTTATTTATATATTCCATAAATGAAAAATTAATTGACGATATAATATTAATAATCTTAATGAACTTCTCAAATAACCTTGGATTTTAGAGTGACTAGATCCCATTCAATTATTAATCCAGTAGTAGTAGCCGAAAATAGTCTTGGCGGCTTGTTTTTCAATTCTCTTAGTGCCTTGTTTATTTCTTCTGCATCATATAATTCTTGGTCTGATTCTGATAGAGTGGTTTGATGCGCCCACGTGAGATCTTCTAAAACAAATTTATCACCACCAGGTATTATCTTTAAAAATCAGCCCAAAATTAATAATCATATCCTTGAATGGAAATTTCGTATTTGAGTAGTTATTATTTCTTTACCTTTTCCATATACCAATTATTTTTTGGGTTCCAAATTTCAATGTTACCGTTTGCCCGACCGCATGCTAACAGAGTATCCTTTACAGTGTGAGGAGTAAAGCGAAGTGCAGTTATAGAGGAAGGCGTGTATTCGACAAAACGACAGCGGTCAAGAAACATTTTTACGAAATAAAAATTTGTGCTGATCTTGTAATTTTATTATGCTATAAACATGTGATGTGTACTGGCAGATGGATTTTGCCCAAACTTATGATGCAATGGAAAGTAAAATCGTGGTATGGTCAGGCAGTAGTTACGCGCATAACTCGAGAACCTTTCCAATTCTTAAAAAAGGCACAATCTCAAGTTCAAAACTCAAAACCTCCAAACTTTAATTTCCCAATTCATCACTAATTACACGGGACATGTTAAGTCGTCTTACCAGCTCTAGCTTTAATAAAGCATTGATTATGCCAATCGAAATTCATGTGACTTTCGCTTGCTTCGATCTCCCATATCTAATGACCGCAAAAATTCTTTACTATTCATTCGGTTTTGATACCTTTTATTAAATATCGCTTAGTAACCTTTATACCTTGAACACATTTAGTTCAATTCTCTCAAATTACGCTTTCTATAAAGTTTGTTCTCGTTTGCTAATAAAGTTCTTTATAAAAATTCCCGTCTTCAAATTTGGATTAGCTTGGATTACCATTTCGTAAAAAAATACATTACAAGAAAAATAGTATAATGCAAGCTTCTAAAGCATACACGGGTTTTTCTAAACCTCCATCAACTTCTTACTTGAGGCGTTTAGGGATTGTAAGAAGCATTCACGAAAATGCTAATTTCAATTGTAGGCCGGATTCTTTTCAAAATTACTCTAATTACACAAATTACATTACGTTGTAACTCGCAATATTCAAATATTAACATATAAACATCGCATTATTTCTCATTTGTGATTTCAGCTGGTTTCGGTTTTTCTCAGTTCAGAATTAAAGATCCGATCAATTTTTACAACTCAGCAAATGGCATAGCAAGCAACAATTCAGACGTTGATAATCTAGCGTTTTCATTTAGAAATATGAGTTTGGGAAATAGCTCTCTCAAAAATATCTGTGATTCAACACAAGCTTTCCAAAGAATGAACTTGGATTACAAGTTTTCTACCAATAATACCACCAACACTTCCTCTACTCGAAAGAGAGTGATTGATGATTGTGATGATAGTGGTAAGTATAATATTACAATATCAGACATCGTTATTTCTATTTATTTATCATTCGATTACATTATTTATTAATTGATTTCTTTCTTTCTTTCTTTCTTTCTATATAGATGACGACGAAGTATTCAAACGTACTAAAACACTTACTGGAAATAAAAAGGTGCGACGTAGATATGACGATGGAGGCGACGAATCATGCGAAATTCGTATGAACGCTACATCTGCATTGCGAGGACAAACACAGAAAATGAAAACTCGCTTGCGAAAGCGTCGTAATGCCCATCTTCGATAAAATGTAAGTATTTAAATATGTTTTTATCAAATTTATATTATATATTATTTGATGGACTAACATCTATTCTTTATCCTTACAATAATAAAGGATCGATTGGTTTCACTTTAGTTCTGTTTTACTATTATAGACATATTCACTTAGTAATTTTACATTTATATCCTCGTAATTCTTATTGTTCGTTAAAATTCATTTGTTCTTACTTTTCTATAATACCCGTTTCCCTTATCTCGATTTTTTAATCGATTTATATTTTCGCGTCATAGTATTATATCAAAATACTCTTTCGCATGTTATATCCTCTTCGATATCTGTATTAGACGTATATATTTACATTATATTCATAATTTGTACACACAATTCAAAATTAAATAAAAAGCATTATCATTAAGTTTAATAATAATGAAGGGTAACGCGTCTGAAAAGCTAATATGATCGCTTAGATTTGAGATGGTAGCATGAATGCAGAACGTGCTTTTTTTATTGTAATCATTTTCTTTGGTAATATTAAAACGCGAATTTGATTCCGATTCCACGTAAATATAAAAACCCAAAGAGGAATTTCAATCGAGTTGACTTAAGTAACTTCCATTTTTTCCTGGTGTTAAGAAGTTTGATGATTAACTATTTTGGCAATAGTATTTTCTAATAAATTATTGGCTTTTTATCATAAAGTTCAATATATATAGTAATAAGACAATTGTGGATCTGTGCTTGTAGTTGTTGCTGCTGTGGTTGATGACAATTGAAAAGCATTATCGCGTGTAATAAATACAAGACAAACGCAATCATCGTGATGATGATTCCGTGATTAGTACTTTGGAAGAAAGTAACAGTGATCAATTTTGCATCTAATACAAGTTTTACGCATTTTTGGATTCTAATACCGTATCCTTCCAGAAATAAGCACCACTTGATCGAGATGATTTGACTCCATAAAACGGGGCGGTGCTTATTTCCTCGCAACTCAAATTTAAGACGATTTTAGATATATTCATGATTTTAAATGAAATCAGAGATGCTGCTTATTCCTGGTTGCAGATAATGAAAAAATTTGAAGGGAATAATTCATCATCATACGCGATATTCTGAAGAACTTGATTACTAAATTGTTGGGAAGTTTGGTTCCTAACACGAAGAATTCTGTCTCTGATAAGATCATGAAGATCATTATCACAACTTTGCTATCAAATCGATACACGTGATCTTTTTAGCAGACATAATTCATTCTTATATCGATATACAATTAACGACTCTTGTTCCTGGATCACTATTAAAATCGCGCTCAATTTAGCGATATCTTGAAATTTGATTACCAATTTATCAGTAAATCGAACTCTGACTTACGAACACATATTATCATTATAATCTACAAAGTGTTCAATTCTTATGCATAAATTAGATATAATTTAGTGTCATTTTCTTTGACGTAGATAAACGATTATATTCGTGAAATTTAAGACTTTAAGCACTTTGCCTATTGGCATCATGTTTTTAATAATCTACGCTCTTTGTCCAGTTCCTTATAAAACTATTATATTATACTCAGAAATATATTACATGAATCTAGTTTACAGAAAGTTCTTATCTATATAAGCTCCGTGATTTTTGATTCTAATTTAATATTTATAACAAATTGATTATGAATTAAATTTGTATGAAGCTAAAATTATACTTTATTTAATTAAAATATTTTTTTATAAGTCATGATTTGCAATTGAATTTAATTTTCAATGTTGATTCAAATATAATTAACAAAACTCATTTGTTTTTTATTATCATTATTAGTTAGTTTTTTATTGAAACTTAGAATTGCTTGAAATATTTTATAATTTTGTTTAATTTAAAATATTTTGACTTTTTAATTATCTATTTTTTATCCATTATTTTTATAATCTGAAATTTTAAAAAAAATTAAATTCAACTCAATAATTTTTATTTTAAATAATAATTATATAATTATATACAAACTTTTTATTTGATAATAATTTAAGTAATAATTATAGAAATATATAATGTAAATAATAATTATAGAAAAATAATTATAAAAAATATAATTTAAATAATGGTTATAGAAAAAATATACTAAAAAAGTTTTACAATAAAAAAAAAGTTTTACAATAAAAAAGAACACAATTACTGATCCTCAATGTATTGTATTAGATTTCAATTTTTTTCTTTACAAATAATACAAATTTTCATTTAGTATGTAATATCTCAATATCGAGCGATCCGATTCGAGCGAAAATACCATCATTTGGTTTGTCTAATCAAGATAAATTGAATGGTGGTATTTTCGTTCGAATTGGTGATTATTTTATAATGTTAATAAAAGAATGGAATTATCTTTTCAATAAATTTGGATGGTAAAAATGAAAGGCTGTATCTTGGCATCAATAGACTATTTATACACAAAGAAAACGCCAATTTATTATTTGATTATGCAGATCAAATCCATGTGACCTTGATTCCTATAGGCCAACCACATCTACTTGACCTTTACTGCTTGCAGTTATTTCTTCGAAAACTTAATCCATAGTTTCAAGGATTAGAAAATTCAAAAGTATTTGCTCTTACCTTGTGACTATATTGAGAAGAAACTTTTTTGAGTCTATTTGTTTCACCAGTAATCAATCATTTGCATCTTAATAAGTTCGCTCCACATCAAACAAAGGATTATTCTTCTTTGAGTGACACAACAATATATCGTGTTGAGTCTCGTGTTTCTTACTCGAAACAGCAAACTTTAATTGAAGTCACTAATTAATTATTCCTCTAGTCACGCTTATAATCATTTTGATTATAAGAATCATAACACTGCCACTATACATAGTTCACACCATTTGCAAAACTTCATGACATCAGTCAAAGTAATAACTCTAATTTATCAAGAACACCGGGAAATGACAGGAAAGTGCACGAATTAATTACTGCATTTCGAAAGATTAATTTATCGGATGCATATAATTCTGATTCGAAATCATCAAGAACACCGGGAAATAACAGGAAAATGAACGAATTAATTACTTCATCTGCTTCGAAATCATAACAATTAACTCGGCTATGGATCATTTAACTACTTGGGTGAATCTAAATTCTTGTGGTGATAAACTATCTCACTCTACGGATATCAATTCACTCTGATTCGAAATCATCAACAATTAATTCGGCTGTTGATTGTGTATTTCACGAAGAAAAACGTGGATTGATAGCCTAGAACAAGATATCTTATTATCACGAAAATTAGAAATTAGATTCATCCGATTAAAAAAATCAGAAAATGGTAAATTTTATTCATCTAAATATTTGTTTCCTTTAAGTGAATTAATTATTTTAATTTATTCTGTTGTTTTTTGTCTTCTCGTTGAAATTCAACAACAAACACATAGAAAACCGTTAGCATTTATATATTTGCAATATATTATATCATATGCAATCATCAGTCGTAGAAATTAATTTCCCACCATCAAGGTAGAGTGTCTACTATTCTACTGGTGGAACTGATGGAAACCCACATTTGATAGGCTGAAATTTATAGATGCGTCTAAATTAGTACGCGTTTCATTATATTCATTTATTCACTTGAAGTATTTAGTTGTTGATTACGTTTATATAGAATTTCACACTTTGCTATCAAATAGACATTCACTTAATATTCATAATCTGAGAGACATGAAATTTTAAATAAAAACCTCGTTAGGCGTTTTGCGTCCACACTAAAATGATGATGATCCTGAGCTATATTTTGTATTACGTTAAGTTTAGCAAGTATATAAAATAAAGATTGTTCAAATTGTTTCAAAATCGATTGATATCCAATAATAAATCCCCAAAAAAATAACCGCGTCAAATAGAGAACCGAGACAACAATATTATTCTTTCATAAGAGCTATCCTTTATCATGCCCATCTTATTATCCTTTAGATTGCCTTATCTGAAGCCAATGCAAGTATTTGACGATAATGACTATCGCAATAGGGTTTGTCGTTATGCACATAAAAGAAAGAACTATTGAATGGTTTCTCGCATGCCTAATTTTAATGGAAAATATTAAATTATAATGATAATAATGTGCCATTCAATGATAAATAAATATAAACCAACCGTGCAAACAAAACAATCACGATGCCACATTCCTTTCAACGCATTGACATATTCGCCATTTATGGGTTCTGTGCAACCTTTGCATTTGGAAGCTATTAGAAAGGTAATCCGATAAAAGAATTAGAAATTGAGTTGAGAAAAAGAAAATCCGTGTTTTTTGTTACATAGCATACCAAAATTTTTAACCCAATCCTTTTTACAATAAGGGAATCCATCATTCACCATAAATCCACCATCTGCAAAAGGTTCACCACACTCACGACAAAAGAAATGTCCATTATGCCATGATTTACCGAGAGCTTTAATACAATCCTAATTCACAATATTATCAATGATTAATAACATAAATAAAATATATTTATATATTATCGAAGTAGAATATAATTACCCCTTCTATTGGAGTATGACAATATCCGCAACGAGGACTAAACAGTTCATGATAATCCAAATGACAATACGGATCACCATCTTTCTCAAAGAACGCAACATGCTCCAATGGTATTCCACATTTTTTGCATCCAAAATGTTCTGGGTGCCATTGTCGACCCATTGCTGTCAATATACTTCCCGATATTCGTTTTCCGCATCTAGCACAAACTTCGGATATTTTATTTGGAGTCTCGATGCCGGCATTATTAAGGGGAGGTTGACGGGAATTAGCATCTTCAACTTGAGATGAGTTTTCCTCATTTCCCTCGTTTTTAAACTGTTCCTCATTTCTCTCGTTTTTAAACTGTTCCTCATTTCCCTCGTTTTTAAACTGTTCCTCATTTCCCTCGTTTTTAGACTGTTCCTCATTTCCTTCGTCTTTAGACTTTTCTGATGCTAATAAATCAAGAGGAAGTTTTCTCGTTTCCTCTACTTCCGATGCATATGATGAGTCAGGAAGACTTCCCGTTTCCTCTATTTCTGAGTTCATAGAATTTCTTTTATCAGATAATAGAGGTTGAGTATCTTCGTTTTCCTTCTCAGCATCTAATATTGCTCTGAATCTAATAATTGGATCCTCTGATTTAGACCTCGGTTGAGCAGACAAAGGTTCATTACTCTTTTGTTGATCATTTTTTTCAAGTTCTTCAATGGCCGGAAACCTTTTTGTCATCTCTCGATCTTCCTCGATTGAGGAAAAATGTTGTTCTACTTCTTTAGGATTTAGGTCCTGATTCTCAAACTCTTCAATTTTCGGAAATTTCAACTTTACCTCTTTACTGTTTAGTTCAGGACTCACAGGATTCTCAAGATTCTCAATCGGCGGATATTTCTGTCCTAATTTGTCCAAGTCATTTTGCAGCAACGATATTGTCGTAGCATTAGAAGTTGGAGGAAGCGGAGGAGAATTTGATTTTGACGAAGAAAATGAATCTCTCTTTTTTGATGTTGGTATTGTTGGAGATATGGATCGATTGGTAGACGGTGATCTTGATGCCGTGCCATATGACTTAAATGCTGCCGATAAAACATATGCACCTTTCGATTCACCTTTTATTTTTGGCGGTGTCGTTGAGGTGTTATCATCTTTCCACGTATTAGCTGGATCTCGTGTCGTTTCAGATGGAAACACAATATCAGGAGTATCATTTTTATTATTCTTTGGCAAAGGTGTAAAAGCCAACTTTGTTTGCATCGGATAAGCTAAATCGTTCACTATATCATCAATAGTTTGGTATTTCTTTTCTTTGGAAACAGATAAAGAAGCACTTGACAAAGGTTTGAACGATAATCCTTTACTATTAAGATTAGACTTATTTGATGAATCGAAGTCAGTTGAAGCAACAGGTTTTTCTTTGGATGATGTTGACTCAAAAGATAAAATCCCTGAAGGATCATTTCGATTGTTTCCTAATGACAAAGAGTCAGGTTCTGGGATATTATTCGAGTCTGTCGAACTATTATTGTTGTTATTGCTAGACTCCCGATTTGGACTAAGTGGACTTAATGGCGTGTTTGGTGGTACTACAATAACAGGACTTTTGGGCTGTGATAAATTTACGGGTTTCGCGGCTGTAGCTTTTGTACTTAGATTTTTCAAGTAGCTGTCTTTTTTCATAAAGACGCGAAAGTCAAAATGGTCACATTAAAGAAAAAATGGTGTTTCAATTTTAACTCTTTGCTCTCTTTAATTTCGAATGCTTTTTACATAAAAACTTTTGATACTTTACTTACCGAGCTGGTCTCTTGTCAAGTAAGACATGGTTGGAAATGTGAATCAAGTGTTGGAAACTTGGCGAAAAAGGATGTTCAAATAATTCGGGGTGTTACACACCAATCTTTATAAATTGATAATTTACAATGACGTAATTGAACAGACAGACAATGATTAAGACATTGACATTGATTGTGTTCAAACCAATAAGATGCACGTTTTTTTTTATCAGTCCGGCGACACAAAGAAAATGAAAATGTGAAAAATACAGGAGGCAGTTTTACATATAACATTGACCTCCTAACCTTTAAAAATCAACCTTTAACGTTGTGTTACCGATCGATAAACTTGTCCCAGAAAAATTAAACTTTTCGTATTTTCTGCATTGTCATATGAATTTAACGAGAAATACTAAGTTTGATCAATTTATCTTTGCGTGTGACAATAATATATTGAATGATCGTGTCAGTGAAAATAATAGTAGATGGACCAAATAACGAGCCCATTATGAACAGTAAAAGATCCAATATGCGAAAAACTATAGTTGTTTTAAATGCCAATATTTGTCTAAATTATTAATCCATAAATTATTTTGAAATTATGGTAACATTCAAGCTTGCCCTTAGTACATAGATATGTACGATGTAATTATTTTTAATTCAGATTCAGATGCTCTTGCTTGGTAAAGATCAGACCACCGCAACAGGCCAAAAAAGAAATAAATCGAATAAAGCGAGGAAAGGAATAAAAAAACGAAATTGCAAGCTATCGACGTGGATCCCAGATTCACCGAACCAGCGGATCAACCAGCGGATGTGAGGTAACCAGCCGATGCTCTTGTCTGACGAAAGACCAGAGGATCATCACAAGAGCAACCAGCAGATGCTGTTGTTAAACCTGAACACTACGTACACATGTAGGTTGAATATTTACTATGCCATACGTTTTAATATCAGCAAGATACTTCCACCTATGCGTGGAAACTTCCATTTCAAGAAACTCTACAAGAAGGCGACTAGTGATCAATAATTCTTGAGTGATACCTTTTATTCTTTCGCAATCATTTTCCATACGCTTGGTGTATCAATCTCGATCCCAAAGCAACTATGCAATAGATCTCTTTCTTGAGGCATTTAAGGCCACGAATGAGCAAAAAAAAACAATTTGGAAACACGAAAGACCGAATTTGAGTTCACTATTGGACCCACCGACCACACCTGAACCGAAAAGAAATGAACCATACTTGCTCAACAATACTGCACTCATTCCTTTGACCATCATGTAAGTAGAAGCTGGGATCTTGAAAGTCACAAGTATTTGGCCGAATAATGACCAAACAGCCGAGGTCGATTTAATAGTTAAAGTGATTATTTGGGAAGAACTCCGAGAAACTATCTCTTAATTTTCAGGCATCACCATGGGATGATCAGAATTTTCCGAAATTACAGTTCTGACGGAAAGTGATGACGGCCAGTTTTTTTATTATATTTCATTCAATTTTATTTTGATAGTGCCGGCATTATGTCCCTAAAATACCAGTACTTGATGTGATCTCTTTCCATGTCAAGTTTGAATAAAATAAGCTTTGTAACTTGAACGTCTTTTAACTAAAAATAAAAATCGCAAGAATTCGATAAATATTATTCTGATTAAAATGAAATTACTACCAAAATGTTTGTCTTATTGAGGCGAATTTAATAAGATCAAAATTATAAAATTCTGATCGCTGGTTATTGAGAAAATATGTTTTGAAAATTTTACAAACCTGATGATGCGCTCCTATTAGATTTTTGCAAATTCATCACATTTTATTTTATTATCTTGTTAGAAATCTAGCACTTTATTTATATATTTTGCTTCTATAAAAAAAATGCTAGTATTATAGTAAAATTTACATAACAATCTCACCACCATTACTTTCCCCCAGAACGGTATATTCACTTTTGCTCAAGATGAAACGATCCACGCCCACCGTCTGATCCTTTCCAAACGATCTGAATATTTTAATAAAATGTTTATGGGACTTTGAAATGAAACAGATTCCGATACAATTGCTATTAAAGAGGTTTCATATGAAACATTCTATGCCCTCATCTATTACCTTTACACAAACAAATTGAAAAAAGGATTGTCTAATGAAACCTTAGTAGAGCCGCTTTCTGCCCCCTGTTTCGTTACACAAAGAACGATAACTGGGATCATGCGACGTTGCAACAAGCCGTGGTGAATTTCGTAGAGAAGCGCTGAGATCACGCAATCAAAACTGAGAACATGAAACGAATTCTAGAGTGGGGCGATGTAAAAGCTCTCGAAAATTTATGTCGGCGAAAAATCTTCATTACCCGACTGAATGAACAAAATCTCCTTTACTTATCAATAATTTAATATTTTACTATTATTATTTAAATTAATATGATGATTGTTTTTCATACAGAAATTAATAATCTGTGATTTTTCTGGTCCAAGTCGGAAATCGTCTTTTTCTAGTTAAAGTCATCGATCCGCTTCTTCAGCAAGTACTTCTCCGAGTTTGAAAATAATGGAATACAAATGCGGCCAATGCCGATATTGCTAGTGGAGAGAATGGGTAGTTCTTAGTGGCGATTTAAATAAGGGTAATACGAGCTCAACTACGTTAAGTGTTTCCGAAAGAAACGTTAATGAACAATGTATTTATTTTTTGAGCTTCATGACATCATCATATGTATATACAGTCAACTCTAGCTACAGTCAAACCTCTTTATAGTGAAGGTGTTCGGAAAATTATCAAAAATTCACTATATCGAGAGGATTTAATATATACTGTTTTTGAGCTCAACTTCACTTTATCTAGAGTTTAATTAGTCCTTCACTATATCGAGAGTTGACTGTATAACGAACCGACGGTTCTGGTAGTAAAAACAAGTTCGTTATATAAATCACTATGTTTTCTATAGAGTCCACTACTCTTTCTGTAAAATTTAAAAATTCAAGGTTCGTTATATCCATAGTTCTTTATAGAAAGGTTCGTTATAGAGAGAGTCGGCTGTATTATCTTTTTTGTATCATTGCGAGCCGTTTCGGACAAATAAAATGTAATTTCATTTATCATGAATTGGAAGGATGAAGATGTAAATTTACCACTATTGAGATCTCAAAATATCTTGCAGAGATTATGCACATTCAATAGCAATACAGTCAAAACTAGTTACAACGAAGTACAGTGCAGGACACTTAAAGACGCCAATAAAATTAGTCAAGTTTAAAGCAAAGGATCTTATACAAAGATTATACAAAAAAAAGGAGGCCACTATTTTGTAGTAAATAGGTCTAGCTACAAAATATCGGCCCCCTTTTTTTTGTATAACCTTTGTATAAAGATCCTTTGCTTTAAAGATGACTAATTTTATTGGCGTCTTTAAGTGTCCTGCACTGTATCAATTTGATACTAAAATTCAGTACTAAATGAAGAAGAAAAAAGTTTCACAAGACACTGAATACGTCACCTGGAGCAAGGAGAACTTTAGGATTTACATTGGCAATAAATATTTTTTTAGTATAAAAATTAATGACACTTTCTTTTGCCATTATTTCTCTTTTTTTATTGAGTTCTGAGATCATATGATATATATCTTACAGAGAAAGAGAAAGAAAAAGTAATGGATAAAATAAAGAATGAAAAAATAATAAAATTAAAAGATTTTTTGGAGAGAAAGAAGACAGAAAGGAATGAAAAAAATTAGAACAAAATATTTAATAATAAAAACAAATAAAATAATTCACCTATCAATAAGATTATATGAAACAAAGATTCTTGTTTTAAGTTTACTATAATATGATTTGAGCGAATTTGTAAAAAATTACTTGAAGAAAAAAAGGTGAGTGCTCACTTTTTGAATTCTTTAAATAATTTCACAAAATATATCTTGTATTTGTCTATAAAGAATAATTAATTATAGCATCTTTAAAATTTTTAACACAAACTTTTGTAAAATCAGCTAACCAGATAATTTTTATTCTTGCCTCATAATTTACAGGATCTCACTTTCATAATATATGAAGATTCTTAGAAAAGATACTGACTTGATATTCACTCAATTTTTGGAATTTCAAAAGTCTACACACATATATTTTCCACTCATTTTTATTTGATAATATATTCCTATTAATTCAAGTTTAAATATTATCAATAAAAGTTTATTTTTGTAACAATTTTCACATACCCTTGTAATTTCTTGTATCATGTCTATCCTTTTTCGTGTTATGTTTATCATTTTCT